TTATTAATTTTTTTTACTTAAGTAAAAGTTAATATTGTTTTTATATCAATATTTATATAACTTATTACCTTGTTTTAACTACACTCAAAATAAATTGTATGATTATAATATCTTCTTTACATGCTTTGTGGTATTTTTATAATTATACTTTTAAAGACTTTTTTAAAAAATATTAATACAATAGTTTTAGAAATTTTATAAAATTAATATAAGTAATCATAAAATTATTTTTTTAATAGCCAAAAATCTCTTTGAATACTTATTTTCACATTTCTTCTATCTAACATATGATCTTACTTGTTGATATTCTTATCTTAATTCATCAAACAACATTGATTCTATGTAAGGTTTTTAAAGAGATAGAATAGTTATTTCTTTTTAATAGTTGACATTATGTATTTTTATTTTCTTCTATAACTTCTTCTTTGATTTCTTATTTCTTTTCATAACCATAATATAATTTATTGTTTTCAAAAACTTTATAAAACTTAGAATAAATCTATTTTGTACTATAAATGCTCTTCTAAGAGATGCCTTAGTTTATATTTGCTATATCAACCAAATGTCTTTTAAATCTTTAAAGTAAAAAATTATATTATAGATAAATATTTCAGGTATAATTTTTAAAATTAGATAGAAAATTTTAATGATAGATAATTTTATAAAGCCATGTTACTACTAATTTTACAGACTAAAACTTATTATTCAAATAAAAAATATTTTATTAATATAGAATTATATTTTTAATATGAATTCCAATTCAATAAATTTTTAGAAAAAAACCAAAAATATTGGAATTCATATATAAATTTATTTATAAATTTATATATGAATTTATTTATATTCTATTTTTTAAAAAAATTCAGGAAAGGTTTTTAGATAATATGTTAACTAAGTATGTATGAGTTTGTTTAATATTATAATATTTTTTAATACATAAACATTAGAAATTCTAGAATAGATACAAAGAGAATCTAAATAGGTAATTTATAGATTTCTATTGTTTAAATATGCTCCTACATTGTTTAAAAACTATTTAATATGAAAAAAAAAATCCCTTATGACATTTTTCTCCTAAAATTCAATATATAACTTGAAAGTTTATCTAAAATGTAAAATCCTACTTTTGACCAAAATAATTATTTTAATATTTTAGACTATTTTTTAAAATTTTTTCTTTAGATTATTTATATATTAAATTATTTATAAGTATTTAAAATATTTTTACATAATTAAAATATTTTAAAATAAATAGTATATATTTTTTAACATTATAAGTACTTATTTGTAACTTTGGCACTCATAAAGCCAATTAACAAGAAAGTGGAATAAAAAAGAAGCTAATATTCTACAACAAATTGTTTTCAAGAACTTGTGCATTTATTTAATGTATCAATTTTCTAATATTCTCCAAATCTTCAAATATTTAAAAAAATAGTTCAAATTTATTCATTTTTATTTCTTTAAAGAAATTGAGATATTTAAAATCTATTATAATATTTAAAAGACAAATAATTATTCAAATATTTTGAAATCATTTAAGAATAACTATAGAATTTTTATAAATATATTACATCTTGGATCTTTTAATAATAACTTAAATTATTTACCATATTTATTCTAAAGTTGATTAATTTAATTTGGCACTTATAAAGCCAATTCTTTTTTAAATAAATATGAGATTTTTCATTAATGGCTTTGTATTGTCTCTTTGCACATAAAACAATATGCTTACAAGATCACACTTTAGACAATAGAACAAGATGAAAAACATTCTATTGCTATGTTATAGCCAACTTTTTATAATTTGTAGCATTTTTTTTTAATCTATCCATTATAATATTTAAAATTTCATTAAAATATGTGCTCATTAAAATCAATTCTTTAGATCTTATCTTCTCCAACTTGTATTATGTCTCTCTAATATAGAAAATAATGATCTATATTTAAGAATTTCTTACTATATAGAGTAATTTGACTAATATGTACTTAAATTTTTAAAAAACCATGTTATAATTCTTAAATATCTATAATTTTTATCTATATTAGTTAAAATACTAGTCTTATATTTAAAAAGTGCAATCTATGATTTTTGAGTCCTATTATTTTATTTGGTTGCATACATGTATTTATAATTACTTTATTTTAGACACTTATTATTAGATATGGGATCTATTATATATGATGTTGAAGTCCTAAGTATACAAAAAAAAAAAAAAAAAAAAAAATCTTAATAAGTTGCAAATAGATAAGATAACTTTTCTACTTAAATCTCTACTAGATTGATTTTAAAGAAATTTTGAGTTAGATCGTTGTCTAACATTTAAGTTTTATTGGTATCACTTTTAAAATAAAAATATCATATTAATAAAAAAATATTATATTATATTATTTTGATCAATTAAAGATCTTATTTATTAATTTATATTAATTTATATATTTGTCATCTTAGTAATAAGTTATAATAGTCTTATTTTTTTTTCTTGTAGATTGTACTTACATTGATCTACTTTTAGTGGCCGTGTTATTTTTAATTAAATATTTAATACTATAAATACATAAATATCAAATTAATAGAATAGTGCAAATGATTACTTTGTTTGCTACTTATACATTAATTGTAGAAGTGGTAATATACTTAAATATAGTAATATTGGTTGTTTTTGTCAACTATGTCTTATCTTCTATCTTTGAATGTTTTATGATGACTCATATTTTTTTTGACTCAATATTATTTTTTTTAGATCCTATTAAACAAAGAAATACCAAATTAATATGATAGAAGAACAATTGGAGTTGTTTGTCAGTTAAGCCAATACAATACTTTATCTATTTCTTGATGAGAAGATTTCTTTTCCTTCTAGTCCCTAAAGATGTCTTGTAGCCTCATTTTTTGATTATAGATTACTAATTTTGGTCAAATTTGATATATAATTTGATATAAACTTTAAAAAGTGACTTAGACCTCATATATATATATATATGTTTTTTTTGTTTTTGAAATTTACAAGAAAAGTAAACTTGTAGTTATTTGTACTTGTATCTTTTTTCATCAAAAATCTTATGAGACCTTTGGACTATGACTTTTTAGATAGCTTTTGAATATTGGTGAAGTAATTTAATTTTGTTTTTAGACTTTGATAATTATAGGTATTCCAAATTAATATTTTTTCTTTGAAAAGTCTTAAAGGAATGTAATCTTATAATCTATTATCTATTTTAAAATAAAAATGATTAAAAAATATTAAATAATATAAAATTTATTAATATTTATATGAAAAAATAATCTATCTTTAAATTACTAGACTAATAATTAACATAAGTAGTACCCATTCTTTGTTAGATTGCAAAAATATGTAAAATTATAAATCTTTAATATTGTCATTCTTAGACCAATTCCAAAGATGTATCTTAATCTTTTTGCTATTTGCATAAGACCTTTTGAAACTCAAATAGAAGACCTATGATGAAAATCCAAGTTAGTATTATTAATATATCAATTCTATTACATGATTCCAAATTTTACATAGAAGTTTGATCTATTTTAATTCACCTAGAACTTTGTATATTATCTTTAATTCTTAAATTGAGAAATAAAATACATGTTTTGGCTATATAAAAAATCAAATTTTATTGTGAGATTTTCCACTTTTGCAATTAAAAATATCTAAACTAATAATAAATATGTTCTAATTTATAGATTCTTATTTATTTATTTATTTATTATAATCATATTATTGAAGATGTTTTAAAAAATAGTTATATACATGTTCTTTCTATTTATATTTATTACAAAAAATCATTGATTCTAAATTATTGTTTAGATGCAATTCAAATTAATCTAAAAGATATTATTCTTAGATTCATGTTGACCTCAATCCAGCTTTAAAAAGCACTAAACAACTAGACAAGCAATAATTTGTTATTTTTTCTTTTTAGAGCTTCCTAAAGATCTTACTTTAGCAAAGTAATCTCTAAATTTATACTACATAGATGAATGTTATTTAGTATATTTTCATCTGTAAAATAATCTTCAAAAAAATCTTGTATTTTTATTAATTTAGGTTCAAAGCTAGGAGCTAGTAGAGGCCATTGTTCCTCTGTTTTTTTTTTTTTATTATTTATCTTCTTTGACTTCATTCATTATATTTAGTAAATAATTTTAAAATAAATTATCTTCTCTTGGACTCATCACCTTAGGTATTACAAAACTACCTCCAAACTAAGTCTCAAAGATGAATTTTTTCCATGGCCAAGTTCGTGCATCAAGACTAAAAATGGATAACAAGCAAGGAACAACCACTTTATTTATAAACATATATTTTATTTCGTAGGAAATAATACATTTCATTAAGGCAAGGACTTTATAAGGTATAGTTTGTTGGAGTTGCAAAGAATTAGATTTTATTTTGGTTGTATGCACTCACTTTTCATATTGTTATTTCTTTTAATCCTCTATCTTTATATAAGGTGCTCTCTTCCTTTGGGTATTTTCCACCCACCCTCCCATGAACTGAGTATACTCATTGTCCTTAAACTGCCCTTTAGAACTTTTTAAAGCCTAAAATTATGGATCCCAATTTTAAATAAACATAATTTCGGAAAAATTTAAGGATTGATTCTTGGTGACTTGTCTCCCTTGAGATACTTGAGTAGACACACCAAAACAAAATTGGTCTTACTTAAATTCTTAATTTGAATAAGAATCTGCTACAACATACATCCTATTAGGGATTAAATCTGAGAACAATCTCTCTCAATTCTACAGCCCAAATGCATTTTTTTGGTTAGAAGTCTTCATCTCATATCAAACACTTTTTAATACATTCTTTTTCTTATTTCTATGCTTCCTTGATAACCTCACGATTAAAGAAGACCATTATCCTCCAAGGTTTCAAAGCTGTGCAGCCTGGAAATGCATATTGCCCTACAACCAAAAGCAAGCATTCTGTCTTCTTAAGTCATGGTTGCGGTGAGTGGGTCGAACTTAAGCCAAGAAGTAAATCATAAACTCAGTCGTAAAGTTATCAGCAGAAACTTCTGATCAACCTGAAGCTGATACTTGAAAGAAAGGAAGGGCGCCAACACCATAACAGGATGCCAGGGAATACATTACTAAAAGTATCAAACACCTATACATCATATTTAACATAAGAGGATCCACTTAAGATGCTGATGCTAGAAGTAAGATCATGAGCCGTCAGCCAAAGCGGTACTATGAGAATCTGCAGGGTTAATGGGACGAAGCAGACAAAGCAGCTCTTGCAGTTTCGATATCTTCGTCGAGGATAATGTCCCAGTGACCATCCCACCGAAGGAAAAATTCCGTGTCCTCGTGATAGGCGACTCTGTGCAAGTCCCCAGCAGGAGTGTACAAGAAGTCTCCAGTCTTGAGGTCGAACTTCTCCTTCGTCGTCAAGTTCCACACAGTCTTATTACCGCTCATGACGATCAAGTCGTGTCCGAAAGTATGGTGATGTGCAGGCTCAATGCTGCCGGCTTTGAATCTCACCACAGCTGAGGTGGGGTCTTCACGCACAATCTTCCAAGAGCCGCCTGGCATGATGCTCACGTCCTCGAATTCTCGTTGACTGGCGAGTGCACAAATCGCACATCCATGTTTCGTCTTCTCATCTAATTCATTAGTTGCTTCTTTAGGCCCTTCTGTCATCACGGGGAGATTCTTAGACATTCTGAAAATGGATGAGTGAGAAATTGAGTAAATGAGTGGCTAAAATACACAATAGGCAACTCTAAGAGGGATGTAATAATAAGTGAGAGACATAGTTGCTCACTTTCTTCAGGAGCTTGCTCGTCAAACTCAACCGTAGAAAGTTCGGTAGATAATTGGGAATTGATAGGGGCGTGAATTGATGCGAGACCTTCTCTGACGCCAGCTCTCGGCTCCATGCCAGAAGTAGGTGCTCGAATTTCTGTGAGGCCTAGTCCTACTCCAGCTCTAGCCTCGGAGTGCAAACCTAAAGACAGCCCATGCAGCACGTCAGAATCACACATTAGCAAACATATCAAAGACAGCGACATACTCCAGGTCGAAAAATACAACCACAGAAGTCGTGAAACAAAATTGAGTATACCATGACGATGCCACAAAGAAATCCATAGAAGTCACGAGGTATTGACTCACTTGGTGAGTCATAAATTGAAGGTGACGGTGCATGGCTCATGGTTTCAAGTAAACTGTTGAGTAGGACAACGGAGGTTGGCGGAGTTGCTGGGGAGGTCGATATCGATTTTTCATCTCCTGTAACACCAACATCAGCATTTTCTAGCGCTGCCTGCGAGATCATCTCCATTTCCTGGATGGATGCATCGAGGAACTGCTCGATTTCATTGTTCCAAGGGCATCCATCGCTTGCAGGGCACGGTGCTTTGAACGAAGTCTCTAGCCATGCGTCTAAGATCTTCTTCCCTTCTTCAGTTGACGCAATCTAAACATCAGCTTTCAACATCACAATGAGAAAGCAATCCCATTCTCTGTGAATTTCGAACTCAAACAATGTAGATCAAAAGGGAAAATGGTTACTGTTACATACTCAGTACCCAGCCCAAGACCATGAACGCAATCACAGAGCTCTGAAAGAATGCATAATTGTTACACAAAAGACCTCAGAAGGATTGACAACCTTAGCTCCAATTGTGAGAACGTTTGTATTGTTGATAGATCGAGCATTCATAGCCTCATCAACAGAATTGCACGGAGCCGCATAAACGCCAGCGAATTTGTTGGCGAAGATGCTGACACCCACGCCCGTACCACATACCAACAATCCTCGAGAGAGCGGCCCCTCTGAGGACAATTTCTTCTCTTTCGCGAGTTCAGATGCTACTTTCACCGCGACTGAGTAGTACTTATCGACTCCAAGATCAACCACCTCAATATCCTTTTCTTTCAGATACTGTACAAGAGTGTCCTTCAATTCAGATCCGAAGGCATCCGCTCCTGCCACTACTCTTCTCGGTTTCTCAGACGCTGCCTCGTCGGCCATCGCGTTCAGGAATAAATGGAGCTTGTGAAAAGCACTAGGACAGAAACAAACTCAAATCTGCAAATACCAAAACAAATCGAATTCGAGGTTTTAACACAGCTGGTTCGACATATGTCAACATCGTTGCCACCACTTAATCCTAATTCAGAAGCCGCTACATTTCCTGTTTTGTTTTTAACTTCGAAAGGAAGCAAAAATGAGGGCCTCCAATTCAAAGAACTCGTGCGGAAAATTTAGATTGAAATTCGAGGGGAAATAACACAATACTCCACCCATACAATCAATTTTGGGCTGATTTGCGAACCGATGAGACAATTCCTAGCAAAGAAAAATCTCTATCCTATATACTTGAAAATTTACATTCCGCAAAAACGCGAGCACTTCCACAACTATTTCACATCGTATGATGGTTTACAGCGTTAAAGAAACTAGCTCAGAATCCTAGTTCTAAGCTTCCGATCTACCCAAATCAGACTCAAAATGAAAAAATTACATTCTGCTTAATCTCCTTATCCACTACTTAAATTTTGTGCCAACTCAAAGCTAAATAGTTATCACATACCCAAAAACACAACCAACAGCACGGAAATGCCAACAGAAAAAATCAACCTAAACCCTAAATATGAGCCCACCTCAACGGGGGTCTCGACACCCATGAAAAATTGGCACGCACCCTGAAATCGGCAAAGCTGTATGCCTCTGGTAGTGAATTGCACCACAAACAGTCACAGAATTGATAGATAATCCTGAGTAAAGATTCCTGTTCAAAACAGAGGTTCCAAATAATGCGGTACCCAGTTGGTGTGGATGTCAAGAGGCCATGGTGACGAATTGAATATGCCGGAGGAGCTTGTAACCGTGTAAAGAATATTCACCAAGTGTTGGCACAGTTTCCTTCCAAGGGAACCGGTTTTAGGAGGGGGGTCAATATTTGTCTTCATCTGGACGAAATACGGTAAATGTTCGAAGCTTCATCGATGGAAAAAACTCCAAACGGATGCCTATGTGCAACCTTGGAACTCACCGGCGATCCACTCCGTACTTGGCTCGCAACAAATTTTTGATTAGAGAGACGGCGTAAGATCTAGAACAGTATGAAACCGCTGACATACTAATATACTCCTAAACTGGTTTCCACACCTAAGAATTAAGCAGATTAGGCCAGGGAAGGTCATAGTTCGCCTTTTTCTTAAATGATCCTTCAATGCTCGCATTAATAGTTATGCTCGAATTGAATGTACTATGGTTATTATGCAAGACCAATTTTTGAGCATTTGATGTCATAAATGTGCAGAATAAATTTCTGTGAGACAATTTTTTTGCGAGGTTTCATCATTACAAAGCAGCTGGTCTGCGAGTGCATTATACGTCTATTTTCTACTACCACAGAGCCGATTCCTGCCGCACATCTGCGGCATTTCCTCCGCATAGTTGGGTCCTTATCGTCCAGCCGACAAAATCATCTCTTCGCATGAAGGATCCAGCACCCTTCGACACAACATAATGTCCCGTTGCAGGTGCCAAGTAGACCAAAGTTGGATATCCACGACTGGGAAATTTCAGTATATGACAGTTTCGAAAATTCTCGTCATAGATGGCACAAAATCCTGGATGCGAAGGCAGAATTGTGCAGAATCAGACGGCAAAGGTAGAAAGAGTAGTTCATTGATCAGGTGTCCCATGATCACAGCAATGCCAACTCTATTAGAATCTAAACCTCCAAGCTCCCTGAAAATAGCTTAATGGACTTTTAGCGCATGTTTATCAACACAAGCGTGGGTTGCAAATTGATCGAACCATTCTTGAGTCTAGAGTTCCGCGCGCACTTTTCGAAGCATGCAATCTGACACCCCTTCGGAAATATATCTCCTGGTTGCGCAGCTTTTCTGAGCAGGAGCAGCGAATACCGAAACATGGACCTGGAAAGAAGACGACGGATAGTTCAACCCTCAAAACAGGATTTGCTGCATGAAAAGCACGTCCCATGGAGCCTCTCCTTCTGCAGATCGCGAGGATCCGGGATCCACATTCACCACCGATTGTGATCGGTAAGGGGATCGCGCGCGCTCCATGCGAGATTCCCGTGAGAGATTTTGATAGCTTAAATAATAATATATGAAATATGGATTCTTTTTTGAATTATAGAATATAACTTTAATAGTTAATAAAAAATATTCAAAGTTTTTAGATTTGTTCATGTAGAAAAAATATGTCATAAACATCCATACTTCATATATAAATAATATTAGAATAAGGGATTGTTAAATTGACCTAAGCATTTACTAAATTGACCCATCCATCATCATTGGTTGAGGATCCAACAATTTTTTCATTGGTTTTTGACAAATGCTGATCTTGCAAGAGAGAATTTTTTGATGATGGTCAGGGTGGGTGGGTCAATTTAATAAATGCTTGGATCAATTCCCTATATTAATAGCATCTTTATTGTAAACAATTGATGTTGCTTTAAATACATGGATTTAGATCTACAAGAGTTAATAAGACATTCTATCTTCAAATGCCTATGTCAGTGCCATTGACTTTAAGCCTTACAACCATATCCCCTTGTATTTGATGACCCAATTTATTTGTACCACGAAATGTATTTTTGTAAGCAAGATGAAAAAAGTTGAAGATGACTCCTATAGCATAAAACTTTCTGAAATAATCAAGCATACCCTAGAATATTTCTGCTATGTACATATAAATATCCAAATCTACAAGTTGTAAAGTTATTTTTTCTAAATGTGTATCTTTTATATTAATTTGTAAAAATGTATGTTTTTATTACAAAATAAATTATGTTGATAACAACATATCAAAATGCAAAATAAAATTCAATATAATACCAAAATAAATTATAATTTTGTGCGTATTAGCATGGACATAACATTTGTAGGTTATAAAAATCAACCATATGTTAAAACAATCAATGCAACTAATAGAAAAAAGAAAAGGTAGAAAAATGATTAGTCTCAATTTACTTCAAACCAATAGTTTAGAGAATGTCACAATAATTTGAAGTTTACATTCTAACCATTCTTATAATTTCAATTTTGTCATGGATGTGTAGGGAAATTGGTTTGGTAGCATATTTCATGCTATTGAGAATGAGAACCAGTTCAAAACTGCCATTATTGGTGAAATCAAACATTGGACATGAACTTGATAACAATTCTCTAATATTTTAACTCTTGATTTTTACTGCAATTTTATTGGTTAATCAATCCATTCCAGCAGGAAGCGTTTCGGCTGCTAAATTCGAATTAAGCGTAACCCTCCACCACTCGCTTAGATCATTTAAGGTTGAGTAAAATTATGAAATAATACCCTGATGTGATCTCCTATAATAACGATAATTGTAAAAAAAAGATTTAAAATAAGAAATTTGAAACCAGCTCATAATCAAGTTCACACCAACTCATTCTCTGAACGTTATCCCATATCTATAAAAGCCCCTTTTAATATCCAGTCGAATTCAAACTTATTGAACTTGATCACAGCAACCTGGGAAGTCGCCCGCAATTTGGCATTGAGTTAATGCCATGCCGTATTCTTTTAGTCGCCACCAACAATTTTTTCACAAAAACACGTGTACTAAAAAAACATCGAGGACTTTCCAATAGAAAGTGAGGAAATCGGCTAAGTAATATTGGGGAAAAAAAAAGTCCCGCTTTTGCAGAGTGTCAAGCTCAAGCAATTATTGACATGGTTTAGCGACATGCCAAAAATCAAAGGAGCTGGAATGGCATTCTAAGAAAATCATCTTCCAGAGTTACCATCATACCAGTAATCGAACCTATCCACGGTTTATGCACCAAACCAGTCACGAAGTATTGCTACTTACACAGGGATGCTGTTGTACAAAAGAAGCATATATGTATCAGTTGGCAGCCCACGCTCTTGATCACGGGTATCCGTCATCCTGAAGAAGACTCTCATACTTTGTCCCTTTCAGATGAATCAGTACCTCATCCCAGTTTTGGATTTGTTCTCTCAGTGGTCGTGTATGGATCTTAACTTGCTGGCTTTCTAGCTTCCGGGGTTGCACCCCCAAAAAATGTTGGATTTCGGACAGATACTGCATATTTGAACGGGCTTAAAATCGTAAGTTGTGGAAACTAAAACTAAGAGCGAAATTTTATGTATGCAAATCACAGATTTTCAAACACCAAGCATCTATTTCACTGAATGACCTCGAAATTCAGATGAAATCTGGATTAAGAACAATGGGAGACGACCAACCTTAGGATCCACCACAAGATCTTCGTAGTGAACAACTCTGATCCGAGTGTTATTGAAGAACCGTTGGGCGTCATCAGTTATCTGCTCAACTCGCGCCAAGTTTTCAAACAAATGCTTCGCATCTACGACTGGCCTGTATTCTGCCAGTTTCATAGCCTGAGACGAGCAGAACAAAGTTTTTCAATATTATCCCACAGTTCAGTAAATAATTCAACACTATGCAGCACTTCCACACTCGAATGTAGCAACCATGATACGACAACAGCGCTCGCTTTTGAGAAAGTGATTGAGAGAGGTACCTCTTCAACAGAGTGAACATGCGACTTATGAGTGCCATTCAGAGGCTTTACTACACGATCGTATGCATTTGCTAAGATTGAAATTAGCCGCTTCAACACGTTCCGTCGAAGTAAAAGAATCACAGAAACACCCATTCTCTCAAAGTATTCCCTGACCTCCCTGTTGTATTCCATCGGTCCCTATAATAGAATGAGGTCAGACATTCAGTGAAGATTGATAAACAGTTTGAAATCTGATATACTGACGAGCAATGCTTCGTAACCATTTCGCAACATCAGAAATCCTGAAAAGTAATTGCTACATGAAACACTTAGCTACCGAAAACGAAATGGAGGAATAATGCTCTGAAACTAACAGCAAAACGAAAAAAGTCGTGTATGACCTGATGGAACTAAGAGCATGATAGGATCTTATGAAATTTACCTGGTTGAGCATCCACTTGAAACCAACAGCTGCAGTACATTCATTCTTAGCAGCACTATTCAGCCAATCTAAGTTGTAGACTTTATCCATGGTTTTTGCGATAGAGGAAAAATTTTCTCTCCGATCCTTGACGGAAAAGATCTCGCCATGGGAGCTAATATTTGGGTGATTATTGAGTAGAGTCTCAAACCATCCACTTCCTGATCTTTGCATTGATAATATTACAAAATAGTGCACAGGAGTGCAAGTGCACTCTTGCCTGCATGCAAAACGAACAGGAAATCAAGAGGCCTTTCATAGCACAACGAAAGGAGTGACCTTCATGAGAAGAAGGAAGTGCTGATTTAGAAAGTGTTATAGGGAATTTATGAGCATAGTGAACCACTTGGGCAGCAACGTTTACGAAACTAACCTCTCATATGCATGCGGAAGTGGATAGTGCTGGTAGAAATCTACAGAAGGACCACGTCGAGAACAAGAATCATCTTCTCGTCTCCAATCCTTCACGATCACTTCTTGCACAGACTCGTATGAGAATTGTCTTGTGCCCACGCCCACCATACACGTGTATAAACCAATAGCTCCAATGACTACCAAGACCAACAGCCTCCATGCAGTTGATAACTTTCTCCATTCCTTCAGGCTGCTAAGGTCCTGCCCGACACTTTCACAAATCAACACAAGTTCCCGTATCCGACACGGTCTCAACAGAAATATATCGCAGTTCCAAAGCTCATTATGACTAAGACAATTGAAGCATCTAAATCAAATTAAATACCTTCATATTACCAGCAAAGAAGTTACATCCTCCATGTCTTGCGTCTACTTGATTCCCCGCCATCTACTCACATGAGCACATATTCTTCAGGTTCTTAACCTCAGACAAACCTTTTCGGAGGTTTGAAGCAGAAAGACAGACGTCTACTATGCAGAAGGCAGACAACTAGGTATTTCAATCCCACTGCTACCAAAGAATCCTGCACTTGGGCCATGGATCTTATTTACCTCCGAAACAAATATAAAAAGACAGTAACTAACAGCGTTCCCTCAGCAAAACTGCTAAAAAATTCCAAGTTCAAGTCCACAGCCCATCACTGCGAATAAGCATCACGGGAGAAGTAACAGCTAATAATTGCCAGGAGTAGCCACCTGCTGATTATGTCCATTTCTCGCAGGAGTACCGCCATCCCTAGATGCATTCTTTTCCACCATAAGCCCAGTTTTGTAAGGGACCTCACTTCAAATCACACAAAAATCCCATTCACAGGTGGCTTTCTGCTAGGCCGCCAGCCCCTTTGACCGCACGGCCACAGTAGTCTCTGCCCACTAGGAGGCTTCATTCAGCTTCAAGTCTCCAAGGTCACTAAGCCAGCATATTACCTAAAACAGCACTTTGTCCCTGACCTGAATAGCATCTACAAATAATCGTTATTGCAGGTGCACAAAATTTTTACAAAAGTTGCAACTGCCAGTTCAACATCGACGAAATCAGAGATATTGTCACAACATAGAGTAATGATAAAATCTGGCGTTAGAAAAAAGTGATGCTTCAGCAGTATCTCATAAATATGACCACATTTAGCATGACCCCTAATAAGCATTCCCAGCATCCCAGGCGCTTATCAAGCACTATAGAGAGGAATCAACACACGATCAATCGAGGAGAGCGTACCAGAGAGAAATGCTTCGGTACTATTTCAAAACGATTAGCCCAACCAGATACCTCTTCCCCAGATGAAAAACAACGAAGTAAAAGATGACTAGGGTCATTTTAAGCTTCATGAACTCTATGTCGAGATCAAAAGAAACTACAGTAAGAAAATGAAACTGTGTATGTTCACTTCACCTGAAGACAAAAACTCAGACATAGGTAGAGATGGTGAAGCTATCGGCTGAGAAGCTCCACATCCTAAGACTACATTTTCTAAATTCTCTGCGGAACCACAAATAGTAAGGGCAAGTGTTCAATATTTACAACACCAAGTGAGATCTACACGATCAATATTAACATAATACGCGCACTAGTTCTTTGAGCGGCGGAGCAGTCTTTTTATTTTCCAAAGGCCAAGAGCAAAAATTGAAAATCCAGAAATCCACACACAGCTGTAGTCATCTACAAAAGAGTGATCACACAGTACTCACAAAACTCTTGACAAACTGCAGGGATATCAAGGATACCACGGAATACCGTAAACGTAAAAAATTCTTTGCACGATGAATTGCTACCTGCTGAGACAAGGCTTCAAGGATCCAAACTCTTTCACATCTTCGCAAAAGGCTTCGTTTCCTAAAATAACTGCGTGCTAGAAAATTACGTGTGCTCAAGGCTTAGGATGCAACAGTCTTAGGAGTACAGATCTCAGACCTAGAGAGTGCCAGTAGGAATCCGAAAAATATCCAAAATGCCAAAAAAACTCGAAGAGCAAGCCGATACACTTGGTTCCGCAAAATGTCCCAGGGGAAAACTCACCAAGGCAGATCTCGAACTGATCCAGTGAAACCATATGAGCAACCGCCACATGCAAAATCCAAACCCCAACGTCAACTCCACCTCTGCGTCCCACTTCCTCACCAACAACACCCCTTTGCAATCCCACCACCCCATTCCCACCCCAAAAAAGCCAACCCAATCCAACCCTCTCCATCATACCTGAGCAGCCAAGCAACGCAAAACACCACCACCGAAAGCCTCCCGCAACTCCGAGCTTCACCTCCACCTCCAACCCACCAACAACCTCCATGCAATCCCCTCACCTCCCTCTCCCCAGCTCCGCAACCCACAATCCTCTCAACGACCCTCTGGTACTGTCCCCTCGTTCGAAACCGAACCGGATAGCGAGCACTTTTAGACACCCACCTCAGCGAAGAAAGAGATCGTCGTGGTAGGTCGACGGGAGTAGGTCGACGACGACAGGGGCATGGATCGCGGGGCGTGGCGAGAGGTTTGCAGTGAGGGTCGGGGATGTGGGGGAAGAGAATGAGGGAAGGTGGCTAAAACAAGGGCCCCACAAAAGACGCAGGCAAAGGCCAGACATCAGAATGCGGAAAGCCTGGAGCCTCTGTTGCAGCAGCAACAAAAAGCGGGCTCAGTGGGGGCTGTGGGGGGGGAGCCAGCCAGCCAGCCAGAGTCACGCCATGGCGTGCGGGCTCCCTCTCCTGATTACAATCCAGGTGGGTCGTGACGCCCGCATCAGCAACGCGCGCGACCAGAAGCCACGCAACGCTGCTGCTGCTGCTGCCGATTGTGCATGACGGAGTCGCATCCTAGTCTCGGGTGACTTTGATGCTGCTCTCTGTGACTAGTCTTGGCTTATCTCTTCGCCATTGCGTGGATTAGACTCACTGAGTGAGTATCAGGGCCAACTTGATGAAACCTGGTGTGGTCGTCATTACCACGCAGATACGTAATTATATATATATATATATATATACATTTTCTGGTGCTGGAATGATGGTTTTCTTTATTATTGGTGATAAAGTGTAGAGTTAGTGATTTTGAATATTCTCGTTTTGGTATTCGTGTGTTGGTGTTAAGTAAATGCGATGTGAAAAGTCATTTTTTTGTGTTGAGGTGCTAGAAAGTAATGGGTATCCTGCCTTTTTTTTTTTTTTTTTTTTTTTTTTTGTGAGCGCTGTTATCTTTTTTTCTTTTGCTTTTGTTTCTTGTTGAAGGAATTGGTTTTTGGTTTGTGTGAACGGGTTGCTTGTGATCATCATATATTGGAAGTTGGAGGAAAGGAGGGAAATTGGTGTTGATGATGTTGGGACATTTGTAGGATGTTGTGGTGATGTTTTGTATGGTGGCATTATTTTAGGAGTGCATGTGTGTGTGAAAATATTTTTGTGATGTGGATGAGCCATACATTGAGTTTTTTGTTTGATTAGATGTACAATCAACTTATGTGTTGCATGGTTGATTTTATCTTAATAAGATTGGTTGGGTTGGGAATACACATGCAAGGATACTTATTTATTCTTTTGGTAAATTATAAAGGACAGAAAAAGTGATCCAATGCAGATTAAATGAAGATTCAACTTGTACATTGATGAAAAACAGGATTCAAAGATAAGTAGAAAGAAACATAGAAGTGAAAATTTAGAACCACATACTATTTTTAAATCCTGATCTTTAAATGATCTTGGTGGATCAAAATTTTTACAACTATGACGTTTCTTGAAAGATATATTTAAAATTCAACCTTGAGATGAATAAATTTTTATTTATTTATTTAATTATTATTTTATGTTATTTGTAAGATATAATTTATTTAGATAACATTCAAACACTTGTTGTATACACCAAGCACATTATATTGTAAAAAATGAGTATGATCGATGCACACAATTGGATTTAAAAACTATGAATTTGATGTGTTACAATTTGATCAACATATGGTTGTTCTTGTATTTTCAGCATAAAATTTGAAAACATTATCATGAATAAACTAGATGTACATAAACATCAAAGATTAAAATATGTTAAATTGTTTTGCAGATTTAAATGAAAAAAGATTCGAAATGTTGATAAAAATTGTAAGTGCATATTCTGAATCATGTAGAAAAACGTATCTAGGTCTGTAAAATGTATGAAAAATATAAGATTTATAAATTGAAATCGGTGCATAAAAGAAATTTTCGAGGAAGATAATGTAATATTATTAAGTAAATAAAATAAATTATATATATTTAAAACAGTTCTTTGCAAAAAGGCAAACGTCTATGATTCTAATAAATGTACAGTTTTATCTGCCACTTGCTACTATTCAAAATACTGCAAGGTATGATCAAAATGACTTCATTACTAAGATAATATATCATTGAGTTTTCTTCTTATGAACAATCACTATCTACCTCAACTTCCAAAAAGATAGATTTTACTTTTATTTCATCATAGCACGTAAAAAAATAACAATAATTGTAACAGTAGTGAGCATGACCGTTGTTGACAAACAATACCCTAATGTAAAAAGAACCCAGATATCTTTTCAACAGTAACTGATGGACACAAAAATGTCTAATTAAGATGAAGGTAATAAGATTAAATTATCGTACATCTAATAATAGAAACATGAAGTCCAATCGTAAACTAAGGGAAAGGTATTTAGAGTAATTTGTCTGTTTAAGATTAAGGTCTGGTTTAGGATTAAATTGGCATGTGTAGGTGAATAAAGTAATCACGAAAACATTTGGTGCATATTAGCATAACATAGTGTAATCTAGATACTTTGGGAATCCACAAATTTACTTTATTTGCTTATTTGTAATTACAAGACTTTAAATTCTAAAAATGGAACGAAATTATAGCAGCCGAGCATGTTGTTTAATGGAACCGTTAGTTAAGATTAGAATTGCACAGACTTTGCAAATGAGAACTAATCCAAAGCTTCGCAAAGCATCTCATGACCATCGTAAGTACTGATGCAAAGGTAAGGAATAGAGATACAATGTCAAAGAGTCTTAAAAAACTACAGGTGCTGTACAAATTTAGTCGAACGACGTCGTTCAAAGAATGCAACAAATTCCTAATTAAAGAATGGTGTGTGCTAACTCCTATTCACTGCCAGTAGATATCACCGGACAAAGCTGCTGGGAGATCTACAGGACCGACTCCACATCAAAATCAATCGTATTGGTTTTGTCAAATCAGTGCCGGCTTGAACCTAATCCTGATCCTGATAGCGTAATGCAAACAAGCTGTAAATCTAAGACGTGTCGATCCATTTGAACTTGTATCCCAAATGAGGAAGGATAAACGGCTCCAAAAGGTATCATCTTTGACACATACAACGGAAAATTGACCCTGCCGTTGGCTACTGAATTATTGTAGAGCAAACAGGGGTTATTTTTCCGAAATCATTTTATTTGAGGTTAGTTGGCTGTGCGTATGAATCCACTACCTTAAGACATTTGTCGAAGGTAGCTCCATCCACAAGATGATGGTTCCAAAGCTTAATAAGAAACAGCATGAAACACCTGTACGTATATGAATAGATACACAACGGGCAGTAAGAAAGTCAGTGCAAAGTAAGGGTTCCAAAAACACTATTCAGGCCAAGCTTGCGTAGGTACAAGTCTAAGACTACTTCAATTCAAGTATTTCATCATCCAACTTCAGAGCAAGTAAAAAATAGCACACCTCCGTAATGACGGTTGGCTTGAAAACTTGGCCGCATGAAGCACAGAAAACGCTTCACAGGCCCATGAGCAGTGACCATCAGCAATAACTCTGCATTTAACAGCGATTGGTTACAGCTTCACATTCCAAGTTACGAACATTGGCAGAGCAGGTTAAAATTTTATTTTCTAATTGTCACTTCTATTTTCGACAACATAACTTCCTTAAAGCCCAAGTACATAAGGTTGGATAATAGTACTTTTTCTTTCGCACAAATGAGTTCCACAGGTGCATAATATCCTTCTCTTCCGCAGTCACGTCCACAAAATCCTCAAGCATCTGTGATTAAGCAAGTAGGAGTTTGAGACAGAAACCAAGCATCAAAACATACATGGGGTTACTGAAATCAAAAATGTTTAATCCTGCTTTCTTGCAGACAAAAAGCATCGAAGGTCGAGCGAAAAATAAAAATAAAAAAACACAATACCCGACGATCTTCAACCGTGGCAAGATCCTCGTCAAGTTCATCTTCACTATCCCTGTCGGAGATCAACTCCTCAAACCCCATTGGCTAAACCAAATGAACAAGGAACATTAGTTGTCCATTCCAATGATTCAGGGAAAGCACGATGAGCACATCATGAAATATATGCTGTTTTTGAATTTATTCACGATTTGTAGCTTCAAACATTATCAGCAGTTCACGAACATAGCCTACGATCAAATACAATAGAATCCGTCGATGTTAGAAGTGCATACACAGGCCAAACAGCAATACCTGCTACATCAGATCAATTACATTAGTACCTGAGCCGTGTGAGAGTGAAAAAAGGTACGCTTTTGAAGTAGCAACCGACTGCAAAACACAGGATGGAGTCAAAGAAATTTCTTTTCAACACCAAGCTTCACGGTTCTAAAATTGTTGTTCATATCTTAGGCCGGACACACATATATACACATGCACACTTACATCCACAACTATTTCTGCTAGTAGCTTACGGTCCAGAAAAAGAATATACTAGCATTTGGTATCTGTATGAGCTAACTCAGAAGGCTTGAAGAAATTTGTTCGAATGGCCATTTAAAGCTCGTTACTTAAATGAGGAATTGAAAATCGTGAACCACCCACATGAAAAACGTAGAACTAAAGAAAAACCATCTTACAACAATTATAGATAGAACACAAGACAGCCACATCTCACATACTTGCGAGCTTCAGCCTTTTCTGCACGTTCTGCTGCTCCATGTCGATTCTTTTCCGGGCGCAGTCGAAAAGAGGTAGCGGTCGTCAACAGGGCACCGGTTTCATCGGGAGGGGCTGCCGATGCTGTAGCACAGACTCCGGTCCTGAAATCCGCTTTCTCAGCGAAATCACTTCCTTCCAGCTTCTGTCGTTTCAGAGGTGAGAGACAAGGCGACCTTCCATCTCTGGTTTCCCCTTTCATGGCCTGCTTCTGGATCATGTGCGTATCGTCATGACTTGATTTTCCAGGACCAGGGTCAGCAACTCCAGGAGCGAGGTCTTGACTGATAGGACCAGGAATGTAACCTCCCGCGCCACGTAAAGGCTGGACTTTTGGTTTACTGCCACAAATCTTTGGAAATGGCCGTAGTGACCTGCAGGATAAAATTGTGACTCACCAGTTACGTAAATTCATGATTACATTTTAGACAAGGTCTCTGTTGATCTAGGACAAGTGGAAAGTAAAATACTCTACACATCAAGAAAGTTAATGATATCATAAGTAGAGGCATCCAAAATTTAGGCCAAGTTAAATGCTCCAGGTATCAATCATTTGTTGCTAATCAGCTTTGACCAGTATTACGTACCCTTCTCACTTCGTCAACATAGTTCAACTGCATAATGAAAAAAAGCCATTGAACTAGATGTGACAAAGTACAAATTATTACAAGGTAAGAAGCTGGTTCTCCCAGCTTCCGCTCATTCTTTCCAAGTAAAGCATTCAGCTCAAACACGTAGTAACAACAAATTCCATGATTTGAGGCATCCTTTTACGATATGATCAGAAATTGGAAAACTCACCAAAACGCCCAACTTTTTGTCCTTAAAGTTGGATCCGAATCTAGAATATCGCCCTATATGGTAGATACACCAGTTAAAAACCTCAACTCTAGACAAGAGTTAAGGAAACAACATAAGAAAAACTGCACATAGTGTGAGGCAATATGTTTGGTCAAGATAACGTTTAAACGCGAAATTTTAAAACCGCCTAAGTTGAAAATGCATTAAGTATTGTATACCATATGAAGGAGACAAATACAAGATCATGTAGTACAAGGTTGCACTGCAACGAGATCACGGAAAATTACTGATAGGAACATTTACAAGCTAACGCTATCAATAACAATATATCGAAATATGTATATTTGAACTCACCTCAGGCCCCAGTAGTTCTGTTCGAACCGTAACATTTACAATTGGTACGTCTGCATTTGGCTGGCAAGAGTCCAAATTTTAGTATTCAATCTTTTCAGAAAAACAAAGAGACCATCGAAGAAGAAATAGATTTACAGTGAGGCCAACCACGTCCAGCCAGGGCAAGGCTAATACAGCATGAAACAAAATATGTTAGCAGTGATCTCAAGAAACCTCAAACACAACCCATGATGCTATTTTGACTACTGTTAAGGGGACAAAAGGTATTAAAGAATCACCAGAAAAGCACTTGAACTAAGTCCAATATCCCAACGTGCACTCTTGATTGCATTTGGTTCGAGTAAAAATTTCATAAACATTGTTAATAAGAACTTACTAAGTATTCGAAGTTGAATAAATCGTGCGTACAATGCAAGTGGCATCGTAAACCCTACACCAATAGATGAATACACAGATAACTCCGTGAAATTTGTACTTTTATAAAAAGAAAAATGTAACTTAATAACTACAAAGCTAGCAGAAAACTTGTACCAACGTAAGTTAGAAGTAGACAGCGAAATCTCGCTAAAGCCACCTTCAAGTAGAATAGGATGTAAGACCAATGAATTTAAATATATTGAATTTAGCATAACCTAATTATTATTTTTTTAATAATAGGTAACGTTATTATGTGCCAGCTTTGAGAGAGAAAGAACAAATAAATTACCTTGAAGGTGTAACATCGTACTGAACAAAATGGGCATGAAAACCCCTCGGTCACTGGAAAAAAGGTAAAAATTAGCAAACATAAAATAAAATAAAATCAGATTATTTTCTCGCGTTACCCAAACTCTTTAATTCACTGATGTAACCATACAACCAAACCAAGTGTCTCGAATCATGAAAGACATCGTAAAATCAGCGCAAAGGAATCCCCGAACTTGCAACTCAAATCAATCCCACAATCTATTACTCAGGCACAGACGCGTCATAATTAAATAGGTTACATCCGAAACTAACAAAATATCTCACCTTCTCTTTTCTCAAAGCGGTTGAAGTACCAGCGAAAATGAAATTCTACATTCCCTAAGGGATTCCTGTACACAAAGTTAAATAAACATCACATTTCCCTCTCCGATAGCAGCACAAAAGCCATACCAACTGCAATGTTCATAGCACCATGTTCCAAAAGAACAGAAAACCAACTGGTTTGCCATATACATAAAAAAATAACTACCTTGGCGACAATATAAGAAAAGCAAACTATTCGCAAAGGAAGAATTTGAAATGTTGACTAATGTGGGCAGGTGAAGGGGCACAGCAAAACAGTTAGTACCTAAGAGCCTGAGAGGGCGAGGAGGAAATACGTTTGTGAGACGATCCATTTGATGTACGGCCATTTACATGCGCATGTCTAATTTCAACAGCATGTGCGCACACTTGCAGCTTCATCTGTGAGATCAAGGAATATTGAGAGTTCTTAGACTGGACTTTAGTCACACTTGACCAAAGAAGTGGCATCGGGAAATCGATTCATCTTAATCATTAACTAAAGAGCACCCCACCATTAAATAAAATTCTCAAAAGAGGCAGTCATTCCTAGTCTTTGAAGTCTTGTTATTAATGAAATTAAAAAAGGACACTAACTGTACATACAACAGAATCAAAACATCGTCAGCCTGAGAACGAGCTAGAAATATCTGTACCTCAGTTCTCACCGAAAGCTCCCAAAGAGGTTGCATACACATCATGCGTCCAAGTGCCGTGTCCTGATGCTGCATATGAAGGAATACATTTCGATAATTCAAAAATCGTATTACCCCATTAAGACGTATTCCAACAATATCTAACTTAAGTCCACGAGACCAGGCATTAAGAGACAGAAATGAAAATTACACTTGTATTTGTATGCATCAAGTAACCAAGTCAAACATATGCTCAACACATCGATTAACTTAAGTACAACTAAGTATTGTGCAGACTATCCCACTCTGAAGCTGTGGGACATGATCATGTATGTCGCATAAAAACTAATTGCTACAAAAGACGAGGTTTTCCTACATATTTAACCACGTATCCAGTACCTGCAGCTTGCTGTGAGCAAAGTCCAGACTACAAACAGTCTCAACAGAGGCACCATTCAGACCTATCAGTGACGCACCCCCGTCTGCATTCTTTAGCCATTGACGACAAAGAGATGCCATGCTAAGCTTGCCCCAAACCACACGACCGCTGCAATCCTCTGCAAAAGAAGTAAGTCTTAACCATGTATCCTTCCTTCCCAAAGTTTAGTCAAAAATTTCAAACTTCAGAACGAGAACACTTACATAATATGTACCAACAGGATTGTCTCCACACCAAGTGATGACCAAGTCTCAGCTTTAACTGGAATTACGCAGACCTAGTAACGAAACATTAAAAAGACCCTCGAAAGAAACGATAGAGAACAATGCCAATAGTGATCCAGCATTCAAAATTTTGTCATCAAATTTACCTAGATCTTTCAATTTCCCAGAGTCGGTATGAAATAAATCAGCTCGATCAACTGCAGCCACACGAAAAATCACCACAAAAGAAGGCTAAATGCTTGTGGCTCAATATTTATTTACAGCTTTTCATTTGAACCTCTTATAAAAACACACATACAAAAAAAATTGACAAATTTTAAAATGTAAATGAAACCTCTTTACGCTAAACATAGTATTAACCCCTAAAAACTTGAAATGACACATGAAATCACAGAAGTAGAAATGATGACTTGCCAAATGTAAAAAAAAGAATAAGATGGCCATTCTTGGCAAGAACACACAGCTTTGCCAAGTGTGGTATTAAAAATGTAACTGGAGCGCTAAGAGCACCATTGTCAACAAGGGGTACTTTGGCCACCTTAATGACGTTGCTCAAAGAATACATCTGCAACAAATTAACAAGGCTTTCAAATAAGCAAAATACTCCTGAAAATCCTGTAATATAAAATTTATAATACCAGTTCGAATAATGCGACCGGCTAATCTAATAACTACAGTCTGAAGATCAACCACATGGATAAGAGGATAGAAGAAATACTCGATCCAAATACATAGAAAGCGGCACAATCAACATCTATTCGAATATGAGGCTAGATTCAAAGGTGGACCGCATACTAGATACCTCTTGTTGGGAATTTGGCTGGCTGGAAACCATTACAAACATGGGTAAATACTGGGGTGTCGCAGGGGTACTTGGACCAGGCTCCTTTCGCCCTCTCCGACAGTACCATTGTGAAAGACAAGGTATGTTTTCAAGACCCTTCAGCTGAATTGTTGCCTTCAACCTGACCAGAACCAGAAAACTCATCAGGGTAGACGCACAAAAGATGGAGGTGATATTCAAAATATAAATAGATTAACATACCAGGACATTAGACACAGAAGAAGACAGCATCAATTGAGGAGTCGACGACGCAAGTCTATTCGGCTCAAATGTTGACAAAATATGGTCCATAGAAGACTCATTTCCTAGGCCAATTTAAAGACCCACTCACCGCCTCTGTCGCAGTGCTTGAATTTTGTAGTTGAGGCATCTTTGAAGAAAGACAGGCTGCAGCACAAATAACCACTTTTCACTTAGAAATGTAAATGCTTCAGTTCAGATATAAAAGAAAGAGAAGCAATACCACCTCCACTACGCTAAAAGCATATTAGGCTAAGTTCTCTAATGTGCAAAACATGACTTCAGATCAACAAAAACAAACATTCATTTGTCCCAACTACAACTCTGAGTCATGACGATCTCGCCAAATCATACTCAATTCAATTTCTATTAACAAAAATACCGCGGAATGAATGCAATAGTTAAGAATACTTATGTTTCGAACATTTGTGGAGACGACACTTATTCTCTTAGCCCCTTCCACGATTGCAGCATAAATGCCAAAAGCAAATCCTAAAACTGGATGAATGCATGCTGGTAGAACTAAAAAATCAAGAACCATACAGGTGCACGACAGACTAGATTAAAAAAGTAAATTGAAATCTTGCATCCAATTTCGATACAACGAAGAACAGCGAATTCAATAATGAAAGTCCAACTCGAACTACAACGATAGAAACCAAGGACTTCCTGACTGGGGAGGTGCTATTTCGAATACAAGTTCCAGTATATTCAAAAGTGTACTAGGTCCATGATACAAAGCGTATAATTAGGGTCAATTTCATACCCGCTTTTCAAAGCGCTGGCGAATGGTCTGATATAGCTCATAAGGTTTTTCATACAAAGATAAGCTCTTTGCAGCCGCTTTGTCATCAATAGGAGAAAGGTCCTTGTTAGTGACGTTGTTGCCAGCCTCCTGGCCAACCACGATCCGACAAGGGCCTCCCATGTCTACGAGCTCCCCATTCCGTGGGGAAATCCAATAGTTTGATTGCAACATTCATATCTCTACTGTACCCTCCATGTCAATCCATTTATCCTCTTCGCTAGCATTCTCTTAAGTGTTCCTTTCCAATAGTGCTGAGGCAACTTGGACATGATCCTTTCGGCCCAAAGTCTCCTATCCAGCAAGTTTAATTTAAATCCTGCTTCCTGTCGAGGTAGTCGCTACGACGTCGCTCTTGAATACAGCATCTGCACTTGAACAAACCACGTTTACCACTTTTGAGATCATTCCGCACAAGGTTTGTACTCAGCGAAGAATTCATAATTTCAGAACAGAAAGACCTTTCATGCATCACGTCGAAATTTATCAATGGGGTTGAGTGTATAGTTGGTAGTCTACAGCTGAGTTACGTGAAACAAGGCCTTATGCTGTTGAGAATCAAAACGCTCTCTCTTCCAAGCAAGTCCTAAGTTTCCGTGCACCTGCTCCATCAGTGCTTCAAAGAGCTACAAGCATTATGATGTACAGTGGATGTTGACATTAGAATACAAAGACATAAATTGATCCAATTCTAAAACGGAGTGCATGTAAAATATTAATCAACACTTTGTCAATATGACAAAAGAAGAAATAGAGGTCCTCAAACCCCCACATTGTTCACATACGACCTGAAACACGGAGGTAGGCAAAGACAATTGAAGGACAATCTTGCAGCGTGGAGTTAAGCAGGAAATTGGCTTCGGAGATCAAATGTCGCTACATAATCCCGCTTATCTCATTACTTAGAAACCGAAAGTCGCAGAGAAAAGGCAAAACGAAGACGACGTTCACCCAATAATACCCAATGCCAAAAAGAAGAGCCACATGAGAAACAGACACAATCACCAAAGGAACACCTGGTGAAAACTACCCAACCAAAAAATAGAACAACGCGAGATACTGTATAGACCAAAACCCTTTCCCCTTCGATGAAAATTCCACCAATCCACCAATTTAAACACCGCAGGAAAAGCAAAACACAAATCGAACCAAAAGCCCTAGTAACATCCCAGAACTCGCAACTTGCAAATCAACCAAAAAACCAAAAAACCAAAAAGAAAAAAAAAAAACAAACAAACAAACAAACAAACAAACAAAGACAAAACAAAACAAAACAAAACCAAAACAAAAACAAAAAAAAAAACCAAAAAAACCAAAAAAAACTTAGATATAAACGTAGAAATAGAAAGGGCATGCTCCAATTCCCGTCAACTCACAACGCGTCCTTAGAATGAGCCAAGACGCTGACCTCCAATAAAGTTGATCACAAGCCCTTCGCAAAACATCATACCGGCCGAAGACGCATCCAGCTCCAGCTCCCCAACTGCTCCCACGAGTCCGAGATTACGCAAACGGGCACCAAATGAGACGGCAAGATTCTCAAAAGATCGGGCAAGTGTGCAGTGGAAAGCGAGAGATTTGATCCTCCTGCGCAGCATCCGCAGACGACCTCACAGAATCAGCCCATGGGCCCAGCCTGGAGCCCCGACGCCATGCCCCAACTCCCCCCCCCCCCCCATATCTCCCATCGAGATTGGATCTACGAGGGGAACATGTTCTCTCCGTACCCCACGACGTCCACTTCCGCCCCAGGAGAGATCCCCACGCTCCCTAGCCGCACTCTTCATCCGTTCCCAATGCCATGCGCGTTTGAACTTCGAATGCCCCGCAGAATGTGGGTCTCGCTGTTGCCTCGTTTGGGTCGGCCGTTGTTTTGTAGTCCTGATGGGGAGCTGGAATCTCTAATCTCCTTTGGGGTTGTGAGTAGTGGCTTTGTATGAGCGATTTACCGACTTTTCTACAGCTCATTTCGTGCCCATTTCGGGTTAGTTCTCTTAGCCAGGCTGTTCTAGGAGAGGACGCCAATTTTGACTTGCCACTTTCTTCCTAAACCGCCATCCCCAACTTCGTGAGTAGTTTGTGCGATTCAACAGTTTGTTGATCGTCTGTATGGTTAGCGTGCTTAAAACTCACACTCCAAACGCGAGTGCAGGAAATTTGGGTGTGGTCCGATAAGCCCTTACTCCGAACACCGTCATATCAGCTGGTGTATTACTTCCTACTGGGTTTCTCCTGGTTCGATCTGTGTCGAGAATGTATTCCGTGTAGAACGAGTCATGAACAGTGGTTGCAGTTTAACTCTGTTTTCCAATTTTTGGTCTTTTCCATTGTCTGCTATGAACGACTTACATGGTAATATGGTAAGATTCTAGTGCATAGAGTATAGAAACTGTGCACCCATCTTTGGCTTCAGTGTACTCAAACTCGTTGAGAGTAATGACTAGATCAAGATGTATCAGAACTGAACACTGCTAGCATCCGCTGGGATTTAGGCGTAGCTTGGCGTCGTTGGGTTTCCAGACATGACACAGTGGTTGACGAGTCCTTGGCCTATCAGATTATGAGATTGCTTAACCTACCTAAAGATTACCCCCTGCCACAACTAGTTTTCTAATCCCCATCGAGAGAGTCGTATTTCTCCACTTCACAACCGACCACCACCGTTCTGCGAGCCACGGATACTATCCGCATTGCTAGTGCTTGGTACCCCCGAAGGTGACCTAGACCCGGGAACCTGCAGGTGCCACAATGTGCCCCGCATGCGATGGTCTGGTGGCGCGCAGAGCTACGGTTTTCGAATTGTGCATCCTTCGAAGGACAGTCCACTGCATCATGTCGTTCTAGGTAACACCTGCTGCGCACTATAGACTTGCATCCACCCTCTCCACCCAGACTGCACGAGCCTCGTCCTTATCGACGGCGGCCACTTGTTTCTAGCTAACCAGTAACTCGATTTGACGATTCCAGCCTCAGCCATTGCCTCTGTTGCCACTTTCAGTTTGAGTAGTGATTAGAACTGTGCACCATAGCAAGAACAAAAGCACAGTGAGGCTTGATATCTGCAGGAGACTGTCACAAGATGTCTCAATTTCATGAGCAGGACAACAGGTCTGGGAGGAAAAACTAGAGCGGCGAGTTCGAAATCTGTGTCGTTATGTGTGCACAATATTATGCATACTGCTCAGTATGAGCCTGAACAAAATTGGTAGAATGGATGTGAGAGTGAAAGTTCTATAGAAATAGATTTCATGTGCTACCTTCTTTGATTATTATGCAATTCATGTGTATTGTGAAATTCATAATAACTTATAAGAAGAATGATTGGCAAGCTGGTTTCATTCATCCAAGAAGGTTAAGTGCCTTGGGCAGTAAAAGCTTCAACAAAGGAAAGCAAAAAAAGAAACTAATTGCTCTAAATAAAACAAGTAAATAAGGTAAAATACATATATAATCAATCAATCAACTAATGTACAATAAGAATTATTATTCTTTAATAATTCAATGCAATAATTTTAAATTTACTAATAACAAACCAAAATGATTCTAAAAGAATAAAATTTCAAGTAAATATGATTTGAATTAAAATCGAATAACTTTGTAGAAGAATTAATTTTTTTTTTAAGTGTAACAATTATAAAATTATGGAATATTAGTTTAACAATTATGTAATAAATATTATGATTAGATTACTATTTTGAAGTCGTTGTTTAAAAGGACTATTATTGAGGTTGATTTTATGTTGATAATATTTTTTATATATTTAGAGCCACCTTAATTGAATATTGGTGACTCTTTAACTCTTATTTTGTTTCTTTTATTTGGTGTTTAGGGCATATATTATGTAAATCTTATAAGGAAAAAGATTGGAAATGGATTTAGGTAGCAAAAAGAGTAGTTAAGGCATCTATATGGATGAATGGAGATGGATGATGAAAATCTCCATTGCTATTGACCAAAAGGCATGTCCAATGGACTTCAAGGAGGCTGATTGAGGTCCTATTAGGAATTAAGGTTATTCTTTTGAGGTCATTTGAACTTAAGAGGCTACAATCAAAGAGTTTAGGTTTTTGGCTATGGTTTAGTATAAATTTTGGATGATTTGGAGTTTTTATAAAAAAGATATAGGTGCTCAAAGTTAGGATGTGGATTTTATACCTACTGTCACTCTTTTGGATGTAACTCGTGGATTTGAAAAGTAATGAAGGATATGCAACTGGAATTGAAGGGAACATTTTTTTAACTACACTTTTTGCATGTTGTTTGATGAATTTTAAGCTAGGATAAAAGAATAATAGGAAGTGAAAGTTAGCACTTGCAATCTAAGTGTAGTAAGTGACCTAATTTATTAGTGGTTGTGTTTCAAATCATATCTTAAGCAATTTGAAAAGATTTTGGTTTTAAATTTCTAATAATGTGTTATTTTATTAATAAACTTTAAACATAAGTTGTATGGCATTTGAGTTTTGGATTTTTGAGATATGAAGAAAATAGTGTTTGGGTGCCTGTAAATTAGGATTTAAAGCACATACTAGGATTTTAAAGATGCCAAATAATTTGTAGTAGATTTATAGTTCATTTTATTTGTGGCAAAGCTTAAGGGTATAGGCTTTAATTTCTAGATATTTGAAAAAAATTGATTAGTTGGATCAAGAGTTATAAATTTCTAAAGTTCGAAGAGAAAAAATCCTTTGGAGGAGAAAAATATTTTGAAGGATTTTTGCTACAACTTGGGCATTTTATTCAAAGTAAAAGGATTTTTGGGAGCCAAGACTTTATATATATTAAAGATAGAGATATAGAGCTATGAAAAAATTATGATATAAAGATGGATATTTGTAAGAAAATTATAGATTATCTTTAAGATTATGAAAAATCAAACTTACTAACAAATAATTAATTATGATTTGATATAGTAAAGGATGTTAGGACATTATTAAATCCTTTAGAAAGCCTTATATATATAAAGCTTCTTAAATATAAAAAGATTTTATTAGTAAAATACCTTGAAATACTATTGTATTTCTTTGGCTTTTATAATAAGAAAATATTATTTATTGGAACTTGTCGAATAAGTTAAAACTAAACTCTCTACATCTAGATATTTGGTATATTCTTAGATAGAAAATCATGCCACATGATAACATGTTGATAGCTTATGATACAAATTAATAATATGGTGTATATATAATAAACTTATCTTACAAGGTAAGACATGTGTCTTGTAAATTGGATACGTGTTGGAGGTCCTATAGAATGTTGCCACAAAGCTTCTAGTTAGATAGAATATATGAATGTAAGACTGAAGCCTTCTTTAATCTTATCAATGCCTTTATAGTTCTTAGTTTTTTTTAAAACTTTTCAGTCTTTTTATCGTTAGCAATAGTCATTCTATTTCAATATATTACCATTTTTGAGTGATTCTCTAGCCTTTTCAATTAACATAAGAGTGTATTAAGATCTTTTTTTTTTTTTTGAGATTCATGTCTTTGACAATTTAACAAGAGTACTAATTTATTGTTCTTATCTTGTTTTTAGAAGTGAGTGCAGTATCTAAATTCTATTATTATATTTTGAAGGTTACAAACTACCTACTTTCAATCTAATATTAATTCCTAATAATGATTCTTTTATTAAAGAAGGTAGATTATCTCTCTTTGTAGAAATTTTTATTTGATGTTAGAGGTTGTAGATTATCTTCTTCTAATTTGACTTAAAGAATTATTGGAATTATTTATAAAAAGAAAAAATTATCAATATTATTCTTGGTAAAAGTAAGAATAGATTTGCAACCATTACAAATCTTTACAATCTTATCAACATTCTTAGGATATAAATCTCATGTATCTCTAACATCAATCATAAAGGTAGTATTTCAATATCTATGGAAGAAACAAACAATAAAGTTTAAAGTCTGTGTAAAAAAAATATGCAATTGAAAGAAGCAAATAGATCAAATTTATAACTAAATTTAAAAAGTCTTAATACTACAAGTATAAAGGTGGCAAAGATAAGTATGTTAGAAAAGTTTGATGGAACAAGATCAAAGTTTTGAGGATTTTTACAAATCTTGAAAATCCTCAAATTCTATCTAAAGCTACATCCTTCTCAATATTCTAATGGATTTACTTAAGTTGGATTCATAGGTGCACTTTTCTTTGAGAGTGCTTTCTTTTGGTTTATATTTTTAATATAATAAAAAAAATTATGATTACTTTATGATTTAAATTCATTTTGAGAAGTCTTCACAATCACATTTAGAGAAAGTGATTAAGAAAAGGTAGTAGAGATCAAATTTATATCTTTACAATAAGAATCACATTCAACCACCATATTAATTTTTAAATTCCAAAACCTTACTTATGGCATGGAT